ATCTCTTTTTTTTTTTTCCTTTCCATGGTCCCTTACCTCTTTTTCACAGGATCCCATTCTATGGCAAATGTTGCCCTGTCAGGTGAGCTTTTATCAAAGCAAATCTGCACTAGCAACCACTAACACAATATACTTTATCTAAGTTGCAACAGGCTCTGTAGAAATGAGGTGTTCCATTAGACAAACTAGAGGCAGACTGGGTGGTATTACACTGCTATGCTGGACCACCTCTCATGGACGATCATGAGTAAAGCATAAGGGAATCCTGCCTGTCCCTGCTGATCAGTGATTGCATAAATTGAGGTTGGTTTGCTCTTTAAAATTTAGAGAACATGGTTCACCTATTGCACTTTTCATGAGCATTGTTCCTCAGAACTCCCCAGTGCACATTACCTCCCCCCCCACACACACACTCCCCATATTCTACTGGTGGACCTTATCACTTGTAGTCCTTACCACTCCCTGTTTCCAGCCACTGGGGTGGTGGACAGAGGTTATTCCTTCAGAGTGGTCGAGTGACTTTTTTCCACTCTTGGAGAAGAGGGCAAAGTTGGGGACCCTCCAACCCAGGACCCTGGATGTTTTTCTCCCAGATGTCAGTAGGAGTGGCACCATCCTACATGTAATACCAGTTTAGATTTGACCTACAGCTATCCGGTTGGGTTGAACATGGCCCTTCTTTTTGATCATTATTGGTTCAGTACATTCTTGATGGAAGAGGATCCACTATCTCCTCATAATTCTGAATGCAGAGTGATGGGGTGTTGGCTTTCGAACTTCTTCAGGTTGAGGAGAGGGTTTGTTCATTTCAGTGTTCCTTTCTTTCTCATCATGATTCCGGTGACTTGCAATACATCACTCTATAGCTACAGGTTGAGATCCACTCACAAATAAATCTATTGCGGTCCATATATCTTAGCCACTAACGTGGGATTTAGGGGCCATGGCCCTATAATTCCAATCCTGAGCAGTGGGACCTGACCAGTGGTTATGATGGATCACATCAAATTTCACCTACAATGCATGATTTAGGTTCTGATTGAGGAGCATATCTGTTCTTGATGTACTGACACACCCCTGATTTATGCCGATGCTTTCTCTTTGCATAATACCTTCACTGGCCCCTGTATGGGTAATATCCTCACCGGTTTCTCTACCTTCTCAATGTGGGATTCTAGCTGTAAGTGTGAGAGGAGATGAGTATGTTTTGGAAGTTAACATTTTCTTAAATCAAAAATGTATTTCCAATAATACTTACCACCTCTCCTGCCCATCCTCCCCACTAAGAGCCGATGGGTCAGTCTCGAAAAAAGGGTTAATATAATCTGAAGGAGGTTCCTATATACAGTACCAAGATAGAGGGCACATTGACGTAGGTGGAAAGTGTCATGAGATAGATATTGCCAAGGGCAATTAAGTGGGGAATAAAAGCCTGGAGTAAGTGAGAAAAAATCAGATCAATGCTCAGATGGGTAAAGGAAAAGAAACTTTAGCAGTCAAGTAATAGATGTAGTGTGAATAAATTTTGTTTCATGGTTTTTTCTGGTGATTACAAGGTTGGTCAAATCAATGAAGTACGTATACAGTTAGGGTAGAGAAAATAACTAATAAAATATAAAATGTTACCAAAAAAAAGTTTGATATTTATTTAGAAGGTTTTAGTGAATATGCCAATGAAATTTGAAAATTTTCAGATGAAAAGTATTTTTAGTATTAACATGAAAATAGCTTTGCACTTTGAGCAGTCAACACTCTGACTCCATATATTCACTGACAAATTTTTAATATAGATACTTAAATAGAAATTCTGATTTTTTAGTCTACAAAACTTTTGTAATGTTTACTAAAAACTTGCTAAATTTTATGAAGATATATAAAACATTTTAAAAGTTATACTGTGGAAACTCTGATGGTTACTTCGTGGTTATAAGGTTGGTCATATTGACCAACCCTGTATAGAAGGTGTTAAGAGAGAGAAGATTTATATAACTTCTGAAGTAAAGCAGATTCTGTAAAAATTAATTGGTGACCTGTATGATCTGAACAAGTTTTGCCACCTGATACATAAGTTTTTATATTCTAAGCAGTGTTTGATTGGTGAATGTCATTTCAAAGAGATTACAATTTTTTTTCCTTACACCATTAGCCCAGTATTCTAAAATTCTTCCTTAATTTTCCCTGTGTATTGTTCCAACAGCAGAAGCCATGTGATGCTGGGAGCATGCGTGGTGAATTTCTCGAATAATTGGGGAACTCCGCGAATGTTGGAGACACCTCTTTGTTAGTATATAAGCCTGGCAGAGAAAGCCAGCAGGAAAGTATGAAAATGTGAACAGTAGTTACAGTGAGGTTTGGGAAATTTACGATTCTGTTTCGAGCTAGTGTGTGTTTTTCACTGGTAGAGAACGAAGTTATCGAGATTGTGAATCACTGTGATTTATAGAGTGTATTATAAAAGTAGTTAAGTTTAAAATGACGAGAAACATACTGACTGTGGAATTACTGTTTACTAAAAATTTGTATCAAGAAAGAATAAACTGGTTTAATCAAGAAAGGACTTGTGTTGCTGAAGTTCCTATGAAAGAATTTCTACTGGAAATTAACAAACAAGCAGATACGCAAAAAATTGGTGTCAGAGAGTTAGACAGAAAAGAAAAAAATAAGATGGAAACAAGAAGTGGCAAATCAAACTACAGCTTAGCAGATTTGATGGCAGCAATACAAGAACAGCAAAAGAAACAAGAAGAATGAGAAAATAAACAAGAAAAGAGACTACAGCAGTGGTTGGAGGACAAAGAAAATAAACAAGAAGAGAAACATCAGCAGTGGCAAAAAAACCTGCAACAGTGGCAGCTCAAACAGCAAAATAAACAAGAGAGATTACAGCAGTTGTTGGAGGAAAAAGAAAAGAAACAAGAAGAATGAGAAAATAAACGAGAAGAAAGACTACAGCAGTGGATGGAGGAGAAAGAAAAGAAACAAGAAGAGAGGCTACAGCAGTGGTTGAAGGAGAAAGAAAATAAACAAGAAGAGAGACTACAGCAGTGGCAAGAAAACCAGCACCAGTGGCAACTGGAACAAGAAAGGAAACAAGAAGAATGAGAAAAGAAACAGGAAGGAAGTCTCCAACAGTTGTGGGAAAGTCAGCAACAGTGGCAAG